GCGGGCTTGTGCTCGCTGTTGTCCACCTCCTCCCGCTGGAGGCTGAGCGTGTCCAGGCTGAGGTGCAGTCGCATGGGCTGCGGCCGTGACTTGCCGTCCGACACCGTCACCATCCCCGTGCGCACCTGTGCAGAGGAATGAGAAGGAACACAATGAAAAGAGGAATAAGTGCAAAAAAAGGATCTTAAAATAAACTGAAGGAAAGTTTTTGACGATGTTTCTTAAGGATGAGCCTTATGGATGAGGATGTTTATCTTCTATACGCAAGAAATTAAAAATATTTTTCCTATACATGTAGAGTGTATCGAAGGTTTTGTTGTATTTTATATCCTTTTTTTATTCCACTAAAATGTGTTTTTTTGAAGTTACATCACTTATCAAACATCGAGGGGCCGCCACTCGCGTAATCCTGTGTACAGATGAGGGTGTAATCCCTATGTAATCCTTATGTAATCCGTGAAATACTTGACCAAATTTTAAACTATCACTCATATCACTAAATTTCATCTTATTGTCCAAATTTAATGGTTTTAGATCCAGAAATTCAACAAAATTAATGTGTAATCTCCCAAAATTCACGCGTAATCCCTGTAATAACGTAATCCTGTATACATCCTAAATTGAAGTGGTGGCCCCCTCGTTAAACATGTTTCAGTTTTAGAACCTCTTACTTTTTCAATGTTGATAACAACAGTAAACCAAAGAAGTCCGTATTTTCCCAAGCGACTCTGAGTTGTGGCCAGCAGCCGACACAATTTCACCCCACCACCCCTTTCCCCTCATTCCACACTCTCACCATCGCTGCAATATGTGACGTTCACAAGAGTTTTTCCCCGACATGAAAGCGAATTTTCATTTCCCAGTTGGGCGCGGGTGTGGCTGTTGTGGGACAAGGGGTGGGGTGGCCATGAGGAGCTAATGGGTGAAGGGATTGCGCCCGCACAGCCCAGCATAGCGCTTCTGTGGATGGGAAAAAAACAGCAAAGTAACACTGCTGGAAAACTGAAGAAGACATTCCACTGAAACAAAGGTGCTGCCTTATGCCTTTTAAAAGACTTATTCAAATAGTGCCTTTACAAAGGCGCTACTGGCCGCCATGGCGCTTTATTAGCAGGTGTGCCCTTGTTTTGTCATTGTCAACACACCTCGTCTACCTGGCACTGTCAAAAGAGATGTCGTTTCTAACAATGGAAACGTGTTTGTTAAAAGTCAAATATGACAAAGGGTACGTTCTCATGCAAATCCTGCCAGGCCGGATTTAATTATGTTCCTAAGACTAGACGAATTGTGTGAAACTTTATAAGTAAGTGACATTCGCACACTTATAGCACGAGTATTAAAACTAAACATTTGTTACAGTGCTGTGTGCAAAGAATTGAAACCGTAAGGTGGAAGTCCCGTTGACGCTTTCCCCCACATCCTGCACCGCCTCCTCTCTCGCACTCCCAGTCAAACTTCCGGCTGCGCGACGCAACCCACCCAACGAGGGTTCTCGCTTCCGGGCGGAGGACACTCTACTTCCGTTTGGCAGTGCGAGCCAGGCGGACCCAGGAAGGGGAGTGGGCGGATGGGGGATGACCAGTACTCAGGGCTACTCTCAATAAAATTAGTGACATCTTCCAAAAAATGAAAGACAAAAATGATACAAACAAAGGACTGTATGGTAGCTAATGCAACCTCTGCTTTGTAATGCAAATAACTTATTCTTCACTTTATTCACGTGTACAAATGGTTAGTAAGGAAAATAATTGTTTGTGAGAATTCCCATGTGCTTGTAAATAAAATGTTGTTGACGGGGGGTGAATTTAAACAACTTTGAAAAAAATATAAATGAGACATAACTATTTTTGATGGGATGACCCGTCAACCAATACCCTGAGGTGTGTTTTGTTCAATCTTAAGTTACTGAGATTAATTTAAGGTGTTCGAATGGGATTTGGAATGAAAAGGTAGTCCAATATGATCAATTTAGATAATTATTCCAACACAGGACAAAGGACACGCACATAGCGTTATGCAAAATTAACACGACACTCTCACAATCATACAAATATCCAAATGCACAGTTCATTTGTCACACAAGCACACACGGCACAAGCTCTTCAAATTCACATCCGTGCTTCTCTGTCTCTCTCTCACTTCCTGGCTTCATTCTGCTGCCGATGGTAAGGGCTCCAACTCTTAGCCTGTTGGGACGCGGGATGTTGAGGGTGGGCTCCGACCCCGTAGTGTCTCCCAAGGCATCTGACCCGGGCTCGTCTCCGGAGGGGTACAGGGAAAAGGGGGTTTCTTGTACGACGAAAGTTATGGGAAGGGATCACCGGGGGGCGGATGGGGAGACAGCACGCGCCACCGAGGCGCCCGCCTCGCTTCTCCGTTGCCTCCCTGCCCCTCCGTGACCCCCGCCAGCTCCAGGCCCCCGGCCTGAGGTTCATGATGACGTCCAACATGAGGGATCTTACTGCGAACTATAACCGCGGCGCAGCCTAACACACAAAACACCACAACACCTCGAGGCTAATGATAAGGCGAGTTTTTGTTAGTTTCTTTATTTTTTGTTGCTGGGGGGGGGGATAAAGGGGCACCCCCCCCCCTCCCCCCGGTCACCTCCTAGGGTAGGCAGGCAGTTTGTTCTACGAAACTCCTGAAAGTAGGCAACCCAAAGCAAATTGCCCCCTCCGTCCGGCGGACTTTAAACCACGACTGATAGTGATGTGCGCAGAAATTTACTGCAGCACTCGTAATGTATGTTTCGTACAATTTTTAAAAGGTGCGTTGCAATTGATCGTATTGCGAAGAAGTCCTTTTTACCATGGCTGAATCTATACAAAAAATGTGTTCCTATTCCAAAAACAAAGTAGTTTGCAAGCTTGCAAAGAACTACTTCGTACTGCAATTCTTCAAAATTGTTTGCAGTTTGAACCTATTCTTTGCAATCGTTTGTTGGGGACACATAAGCTAGTGCGTACCAGTGTCCCTCTTAAATTTTCCAATTTATGAAAAAAAAAATGCTTATTAAACGTTACCTTCCGTGGCACCTAATTGTCCTTGCCCATTTGGTGCGCACTACTTCTACTCATTGAATGTCAATTGGTCAATTATTCATGGAAAGCAAAGTCGAAGACGTTGAAAAGAGCGAGGGGAAAAACAGCGGACTGGAATTGTCAAAAAAAAAGAGGGGGAAGCGATGTGAGCCAGTGGAGGGGAAGGATAGGGGTGCGGGGGAGTTGCGCGCAGCCTCGGGGGAAATAAGGATGATGAATCATTTATTCCGGTCAAGCGACATTCAGAGCGGGGCGCATCGGGCCGCTCCCGCTCACCAGATCAGCCAAACTGCCTCCTCCTCCCCACCGAACCCCCCAACACCCACACACTCTCTCGTGGGACAGGTAGGAAAAAAAACTCCTGCCCCCAACACGAGGGGTATCTGTGGAACTGTGTCCAGAGTGGAAGGCAAAATTGCTGTCATCTGTTGTTGCCCTTGCACCCAGAAAACGGTTCCGTTGATTCAATGGAAAGAAAATACGCCTGAATTTTTATCTTGACTCAATGAGATTTTACTGATTCAAGGGGAAAATTCCCATAAGGCAATGGAAAACCGCTTAAAGTTCATTCTCCATGAATTTCATGAAACCATATTCTGTGTACGTGACGTGCGTGGTGGTGTGTGGCGCACTTTATATTTAAATTACGCTGAAATTTATAAAATATCGGAAACAGGACAGTTTTGGCTCAGTATTTAACTGAGCTATAGCCGGAGGCAATGACAGGCAAATCTGCGTACAACTCATGCTGACCCTCGCGGTGACTTCAGTCGACACGGTGGGGATCGAGGTTACTTTCACCACGGTGAGAACCAAAGTTTCCGTGGCTAAGGTTTGCGACGATGGGTATGTCGGCCTGTGTGTTGCACTTGTGGCACCACGAGCACGTCTCCGGCGCCGAGCGCTGCCGCCCCCGGGTCACCCCCGCCCCGCTGCGCCCCGGGAGAGTGGGAGGCGGGCAAGTCTATCGATCCTGCTGCTGCTGCTCGTCGCGGCCTTGGGGCCGGCGGGGCCTCTGGGTCCGCCCTGCCCCTGCTCGAGGACCTCAGCACCCTGACCAACCGCAAGCTTGCGGGGATGAGAACCCAACGTGGCCACACAAAACACACATGGGTCTGCGCCATTACCATACCAACATAATCTCGGGGGAGCCCCGGGAAGCCTCCTCTTCCAGCTTCATCCCCCACCTGCACCTCCACTGCCAACTACCCCGCCCCCCCCCCTCTCCCTACTCCTTTACTTCCTCACGCATTGCCGTCCACTTTACGACCCTCCTTATGCTGGCGTTCCCGAGCGCTCCCCCTTAACACCCACACCACGGAGCGAAAATAAAGATAATGTAGCCACATATCACAATGAAAGCACGGCTCATTGTTTTATCTTTTGCTGCTCTAACACTTACACTCAAAAAAGAACTACAATATTACGCAGGATAATTAAAGCGTTTTCCGAAACTAGCTAAAACAATTTATGGCAGTATCTGCGAATAGATTGTACCTCAATAATAGTTTTATACTGAAAGAATGATCCATACCGTAGAAGTTTTGAAACAAACTGTCGAACGTCCTAATACAGTGACATCAATTAAATTGTGATTTTAAAGTTTAGTGTTATACCACTGCAGACAGTACGTTCATACCAAGGGGTCACCAACTCGCATAATACTCCGTTCACGGGACCCATAATACCTTTAGAATACTACTAACAAATAATATTTTACGTAATACCGCAACTTTATAATACATCATAATATGCCTCAATAAGTTCCATAATACCACAATACCAATAAACTCCGTATACTGCTAAGATCGAGGGGTCCCCCACTTCCAAAATAGGTGTACAACGAGTTGCCGAGTTGCCGAGTTGCCGCGAGTAGGCCGCGAGTTGGGATCAATTTTTAGAGAGTTTTGCGCAATTTTGGCGCGAGTTTTCGCGATTTTCACGCGAGTTTTCGCGAGTTATCGTGAGTTCTCGCGAGTTGTCGCGAGTTGAACGCGAGTTAGGCGCGAGTTGGGCGCGGCCAAGTGTACAACGAGTTGACGAGTGGGGGACCCCTCGGCTAAGATGAGTTGGTGACCCTTCGGTCTCGGTTCTTACCCAACATTGACGAATAATACAAGTTTATTATTTTAAATTACCAACTACTGGTAACAGATTTTTATCGTTATGATTAAATTCATTAACGTGTAATGGTTCTGTTAGTTTGACGAAAACTTCCTTCCCAATTGCAGCAAACAACTAATGCTGTGCAAAGACAAAATCGACACCTTGGAATAAAAGGCAGGCAGTTCAACCGCTGGATCCGAGATCCACGCAGTTCAGCCGCTGGATCCGAGATCCACACAGTTCAGCCGCTTGGTCGCTACCCCTGTAGCGAAAGAACTGCGTGGATCTCGGATCCAGCGGTTGAACTGCGTGCCTTTTATTCCAAGGTGTCGAAATAGCGAAGGACTATCACAGAAAACTGATCCCAAAAGCGCTCGTACGTACTGTGAAAAGAGGCGCCACAACAAATCAAGCTAAACAAAACCAACCAGGGGGAGATAGAGAAGAAAGATTGTAAACACGCGAGGTATAGGAGCTCGTGACGGCTGTAAGTGGCAGCACAGCCTCAGTCCCACTGCGCGCCGCCGCCACCCCAGGCAGCAACCGTTCCGTTCGAGGGGGCGTCGCGCCGGGGAGTTGAGCATCACCTCATCACCTGAACAGCTCCACAAAGCCACAAAGGAGAAGCAAAGGGAGAGCGGCGTGTAACCGGTAAAAAATACGAATACCTCACTCAACACCCTCCCACACCCTCTCTAGTCCTTTTACGAGTTCTATTTATTTGCCCATAGCTCACCCATCAATCTCCCCCCCCCCC